GGTTGTTATTGCCTCTGGTAGTGTAAACCTTCCAACCTAGACCCTTCTACAGAATCATCACCTACACACACACACACTGGTACACATGCAAAAATATAGATACACATGGTGACACGAACATAATCGGCTGACGCAGTGACACGGAGGCGGTTGAACAGCGCTGGGTTGGGTAAAGTCTACGGAGTTTACAACCAGTGTTTACTATGTGCGCCCGACCATCGCGCCCGCCCGCCCCTCAGTCCATTACCTACTGTTAGCATTTATTATTATTATTATTATTATTATTATTATTATTATTATTATTACTATTATTATTATTATTATTATTATTATTATTATTATTATTATGTTGTTGATGGTCGTATTACTCCAGCTTCCCGTTGCCACTTTAAAGGTTGCTGCCATCCGGTGTTTTCTTCTGCTGCTGTTTCTTCTTTGGCTGTTATCTGGTGCGGCTGCTGAGGCTTCTTACCGATAGTGTCGCTGTTATTGCTGTGTTATCGTCTGGGGTCTTGCTGGTGCGGGTGTTGCTAGGGGGCGGTGTTGTAACTCAGGGTACAGGAAGTGTGTGGGGAGCCTTAGTCTGGTTTAGTTTATGTCTCCGGTTGCTTGCATCTGGCGTGTCTGCAGGGAGGGAGGGTGTGTGTGTGTGTCCCGAGGTGTTGGTCACGTGAATAGATGTTTGCTGACCTTGTTGTCTTTAGCGTAGATGGTGACGCTGGGGGAGGGTGACGCTGGGTGTGGCTGGGGTTCAGGTGTGAGAGGTGTGTCGGAAGCCCTAGAGGGGCGGGGAGGGATGGAGGGAAGGGGGAGGGTAAGGAGTGGTTGATGTGTGGGGTAAGGGTCAGAAGGTGAGCCAATATCTGCTAATTACCTTAGTGTGCCTGCTATGTGGACTCATCCCCCCACCTGGCTTATCATCTTGTAGTTAAGGTCATCTCGAATTTATTCCCGTTATATATATCTGAAATTGGCCGCTATATTTTCAGTTAAAATGTTTGAAATGTTCACAGCTTCTATGGTCTTTCGCAGCTATCCGTCAATATTAATTAACATGTCCCTACACCATGTCTACAGGTATGTGTGTGTGTGCATTCGTGTACGCACGCGCTATACCTATAGGTTTGGGTGAATATGTATTCAAGATTGTTTATACCTTTCTATGTTACCTCGAATGCCTCCCGCGCGTGTGAGAGTGTGAGTGTGTGACCTAGTAATGTTATGTTCACATATAAGGATTCTTCAGGTAGCTAGACACTTCCGCGACCCCCCTTTGTCCTCTTCCCCCTCCCCCTGGCTCTATCTACCCCCTCAACTGGCCACCCCCCCTCCCCCCCAGACGATAGAGATTACATTACCACATTACCACAAGACAACAGTAAACCTGGCCACGGTCAACCTTCATCTAGGAGCTATACACCGTAGTTTATTCATGATGAGTCCGCCTTGTGTCACACTCTACTCGTGGTTGGGTAGATTACATTATGTGGATCACCTCAAGATTAACCCTCACATTATTTCACCTGATGATTAAACATCTTAACGACACCTAGGGTGGTTAGGTTAGTGTTAGGAAGGTTACCCGTAAGGTGAAATAAGCTAGAGGCTATTACATGGGCAGGTGGCATAGGCGGGGTCGAGGTTGCCGCCCACCTGTAGGGGAGCGGACTTAATCTGTGTGTGTGCCGTAGTTATAATTTTACGTCGATGAAGCAGCTACTGTCCACTGCTAATACTGTATGTGAGGAAAGTTATTTATAATGATTTTGTCCATTTTAATGTAGTCTGTTTTAGATGCTTAATTGTACTGTAAACACTGCACGCCTCTGTTTGTATGTACTTCATTTATGTGTTTGTGGTTTTTTTCCTTCATCATATCCAAGAACACTCGTTGTCTGTGATTTTATTTTTCGTTTAAATCTTCTGGTTTTGGTTTATATTCTTTGTGGACCAAAAAGTTTATGCGGTTTTTATTTCGTGACTTAAGTGTTTTTATAGATGTTATTTGCGCATTTTTTGTGGTCAATAAACTTGTCTATCTATTTATCTGTTTGTCTATGATTCCTATTTGGAAATAATGACATGCTGTTTGGGTCATGCCATTTTTTTTGGCGAGGGGGGGGGGGTCACGTAAGCAGTTTAAAAAGTGGCGACACAACACAATGGCGTGAACGTTGATGCGAGAATGAAACCATGACCTCAACATGACTCTTTCCTGGCTGCCCCATTAATCATTCTTCGACAGCTGTTACTTCTTCTTAGGTATGTATGTATGTATGTATGTATGTATGTAACTGTTTTGGTGACGCTATGTGTAACCACGACATGAATCGACCTCACTCTTAATTGCTCTCTATAAGTTGGTTTAACATCAGATGGGGAAGTTAATATTTATGCGGCCGCCAGATATCGATATTTTATTAACTATTTGTCGGGAATCTGATGTTGTGTCTGTGTTGGTCGGCCACGGCGTCTATGATCACCTCGCCTTTGGTTGTCAGGACTTGTTATCGTGTGATTGTTTTTGTTAACGTTTATTTGAACCAGTGTTATGGAGGGTATGTTCAATACTATACAAAGGGTAGGTGGGAAATCTGTTTTGTGGCGTTAAGGGTGTGTGAGTCGGGGTGTGTTGAGGAGAGAGTGGTGTGAGTGGGGGTGTGTTGAGGAGAGAGTGGTGTGAGTGGGGGTGTGTTGAGGAGAGAGTGGTGTGAGTGGGGGTGTGTTGAGGAGAGAGAGAGTGGTGTGAGGGGTGTGTTGAGGTGGTGTGTGTGTGTTGAGGAGAGAGTGGTGTGAGTGGGGGTGTGTTGAGGAGAGAGTGGTGTGAGTGGGGGTGTGTTGAGGAGAGTGGTGTGAGTGGGGGGTGTGTTGAGAGAGAGTGGTGTGAGTGGGGTGTGTTGAGGAGAGAGTGGTGTGAGTGGGGGTGTGTTGAGAGAGAGTGGTGTTATGGGTGTGTGAGTGGGGGGTGTGTTGAGGAGAGAGTGGTGTTTAGGGTGTGTTGAGGAGAGTGGGTGTTTAGGGTGTGTTGAGAGAGAGTGGTGTTTAGGGTGTGTTGAGGAGAGAGTGGTGTTATGGGTGTGTGAGTGGGGGTGTGTGTTGAGGAGAGAGTGGTGTTATGGGTGTGTGAGTGGGGTGTGTTGAGGAGAGAGTGGTGTTATGGGTGTGTGTTGGGGGAGGGAGAGTGATAGGGATGTAATGTGGCAGCTGTCTCCAACATACTCTTCATGCCCACCACCCACCAACCACCCACCCCCCGCGGAACCTTGTAGTGGGCGATCACCGGCTCAGGTGGAGGAGTCAGGCGGGGAATGAGCAAGACGTACCCAACCTAACTCTTCACAGGCTTCTCTTACTGTCTACATCTGTGGCGTGACATCTTGCAAGTTCAGCTACTGTGCCTAAACAATCCAACCGGTTGATTTGGGTTGCAAGTGATTGTTTATTTAATTTTGGGGGTTTCTTGGTTGATTTTCTTGTTTATAGTGATTTAATGTGTCTGTGTGGATGGTAGGGGGTGGGGGTCCTTCGTAAATAAAGCGATGAGTTGAAGGAAGAGACGACTGTGTTGATATGTATGTATGTGTGTGTGTGTGTGTTTGCGTTGGTGCCGTGTCCAGGGGTTAAGCTGCTGCCGTAACGAGTGACCAACTCACTCTTATCCTTAGCCTAAGTATCCGTGATAATATAAACAAGAACCTATAGGCAGTAACTGTTTGACTTAGGAATATTAACCGGGATCTATGTATCTTTGAGTGTTCTTGTTGTGATGGTGCTGTACTGTACACCTCACTCCTCGTGATGGTTGTACGCGTGGTCAGGGTGAGGTGAGAGTCGAGGCTTTATCCCCGTGAGGACTGTCAACTATGACTTATTATGATTATTATTATTTTTATTATTAATATTATACCTATTATTATTATTATTATTATTATTATTATTATTATTATTATTATTATTTTTGTCATCATCATCATGGTTGGGTTAGGTTAGGTTATTCTTCCTCCTCGTTCATGTAGGTTGTGGTAGCTTCTTGGTGCTGCCTTTCAACACACACACACACACACACACACACACACGTGAAAGAAGTGCTGGTGAGGTAGATGTGAGGATACAGGTAGCTAATGGTATTGACCTGGGTCTGGCTGCCACGTATAAGAAGCCTTAATATACTGAGCCACTTGCGCCAGTTGCCTCCCTCGAGAATGATTGATCAGACTTAATATTACTGACATTATTGCAGCACATTAGTTGTTGGGAACTAGTTAACTAACACCCTTTTACCAAATTTACAAATTGTATGTATTTACACCGCATTTATTTTTTTTTTGCGGTCTACATCGGGAGGGGGGTTGGGGGGGGGGGTCGAGCGCGCGTCTGTCTGAGGTGATCACATTAATCTTAGTAAGTGTCTGCCATCACCTCCAACATGGTCGCCTCAACCAGATTTTCTTCCCCTAACCGCGGACCAGGTGGGACGTAATGATTTGCTGCGGCGCGTTCGTCTGTTTGTCCTCTCAAAGGTGGATGTTACCGCGCTAGACACAACACCCGCTGGACGAAGATTGATGAACGTACGTGTGTTTGACCTTATTACATATACAGAATGTTGGGATCAAAATAGGTGAATTATGGGTAAATTCCAGGCACCTGTTGTTGGTCTCTTTGAGTGGTGTTGGTGAGAGGGGTCGTGGTGTACCCCCTTGTATAACTTGCTGGAGAATCGTGGGCTGCTGTTCGCTCTGGTTCTCGGTAGTGACGCGTGTTGTTGTCGAGGATCTACCTTTTTTTTTTTTTTTTTTTTACAAAGCTCAGCTCGAACGTGGGAGGATGTAGTCGACATGGTAGCAGATGTGGGGGAGCAAAAGTGTGTAGCTCCAGTATGGTTGTCCCTGGGTTGGGTGTTAGCCGGTGGGTGGTTGTTTTAGATATATTTTACTGTTTGTATTGTTTTGTGCACTTGTATGGTAAAGAAAGCTTATGTGTGTTCTCTTCTGTTGCAGGCGTATGAGCTGTCGACGCTGACGGGGACGCAGGTGATGCTTCTGGTGGCGAGTGAGACGGGGCACGTGTACACATTCGCCACCAGGAAGCTGCAGCCCATGATCACCTCGGAGGCCGGCAAGGCCCTCATCCAGACGTGCCTCAACAGCCCGGACCCGCCCCAGGTCTCCCATCACCACGACCAGCGCATGTCCGCCACCGGCTTCGAGGAGACGGAGCTCACATACGCCGTCAACGAGGACGAGCACAAGGTCAGACAGATGATGTACTCGGCGCCCATCAACTCCATGCACCAGGGTGGCTCCATGGCCTCGCCCTCCCACCACGCCGCAGCCGCCGCCGCCGCCGCCGCAGCCGCCCTCCAGACCCATCACCACCAGCCCCAGTACCACCACCCACACCCCCCGCCCACCCCGCACCTCAGCACGCCCACCTCCACCCACCCAATGAACCATCACCACCACCACCTCACACAGTCCTCGCCTGGCCATACGGGCCACACAGACCACACGGGCGTGGGCCTGCACCAACATACTCACCTGGTGGGCCCCCAGACTCCCCTCCCCTCACACTCCCCTTTGCCCCCGCACTCCCCCATGGGTGCGCCCTCACCCACTTCTCCCTACACAAGCCTGCACCATCACCCTCACCACCACATCCCCACTCACTCCCGGTAGGGGCGAGCCTGCTGCCCTCCACCCCAGTCCTACGCCCCCTCAACTCTATGTCTTGCTACCAATTCATCGGATTATAACCGCATGACATGGGCGTGGGCGTGAGCGGGTGAGAGCGGCAGCACGGCGGCGGCGGCGGGCTGCACTCAGGTCCCAGAACCTGAATGTGGGCCGCACCTGCCGGGCACTGAAGGGCTCGGGAACAACACCTCTGTTCACTCAGCTGACACTCGCCTCGTTAACCCGGCAGGTGTGTCGGTGAGTGTAGCTGCTGTATCAGTTAAAGAAAACAACAGTTGGCAGTGTAGAAGACTTGAGTAGAGGAACTTCCCTGGAGCCCTTCACCAGCCCGAGAGCCTCATGTTGTAGATTGATCTCAGTGTGATGACTTGTGTGCCATACATGTACAAGCGGCAGCGGGACCACCGTCACTACCTGTGTGGCGCCCACCATACTTACGTCTGTCATAAGGGGAGCAGTGCACCATCCTGGTGAGGGATACAACCTTATTCACCTCGGTGGGCTGCCAGGTAAAGTGCCGGTGGTCTCCGCCAGCCCTACAACTTCCCTGACGGTGGTTGTTTCCCCTGATGTACGTGGCGGGGCAGTCCCGCTGTGTCTGGGTGCCCTCAGTACCTCTGTGGCCAGGTACTCCCAGGGAGCCCAGCCACCACGGGACCGCCCCGTCCTCACTCACCGCCTCTTGACACACCACAACCATGACCACATTTCTCCCTCTCGTGTCACTTAAATTTTCCCTTGAATGACAAAGTTGTGTTGATAGAGTTCAAAATGGGAGGGTGTGGCCCTGGTGTTGGTGTGTTTGGGGGCGGTTGCCACGTGGTGTTGTGGCCAAGCCGGCTGTGTCCACGTGCTTGTGATACTCGCTGTCTGCAACCCATTGTGATTACTTGTTAATGTAGAGTGGTAGTCCAGTGTGTGCTCCAAACTTGTCTTGTGCACGTCAAGCATGTTGTTATTTTGCTCGTCACACATTCCCCAAGGAGTCCCTACCTCAGGAACACTTTTAAGTTGCCTTCCATAACAGCGCCTCCACATGCTTCCTCACCTTGGATTGTTTCTGCCTAAATATTTCTCACCAGTGATGAGGAGTGTATTGTGTTGTGACCGCTCCCACTTGCCCCTCACAAGAGTCAACTGAGGCCTCGAAATGTTCAGGGAAATCGTAACAAGTTGGCGCAGCTTATCAGGTGGGGAATGATTTTTTTTTTTTTTTTTTTTACTAAAGCCTTCAGCTTCTACGTAGGTGAAGGAGATGAGGTTGTCAGCTATTGATTGTTTATCGCGGGTGGAGCCACAGTGGTGAATGGCGGAGCCTGTCATGTGAACATATAATGTTGAAGACATGACCCGTGTGTAGCTTCAGTTGGCACAGCCTCACACATGTCAAAAAGTTAACCCGGTTGTGCCAGGTCTGAGGACCCTGCTAGTGAGCAGTTTCATGATGAAGGACACGAGAGGTTCACTTCCTGTATGTAAGGTTATGATGTATAGTAGTCTTGTCCTCCCCAGCGCCCTCTTATCACGGTGCTCTTGATTGCTGGCTGTGGGAGGGAAGTGTAGTGTAGACCACCAGGGGGCCCCCCAGGGAAGGAGGCTCCTACCAGAAAGAGTGCCATGCATGGTTGCTGCGAGAGCGTGAGGTGTGAGAATGGTTGTCGAGTAGTGACAGTAAGATTTGTTGCGTCATGAGGTGTGTTTGTGTCTGTGCGTTATGTTGAAATCTTTGATGACCCTCCGTGGAGCCATGACTGTGCCAAAGGTTAGTCCAGTAATCGCAGTCGAGGCGGAACCATGACTCAGCCCTGCCCATAACCTGCCCTGCCTCATGCCCAGCCCTGTCTCGTGCCCTGCCGTAAGACACTGAGCACCGGCTGGTCGCTAGAGGAAAATTGAGGTGCCGGAGGCTGCGGTGTAAATAATGAGTGAAGACGTGTGTGTGTGTGTGTGTAGCAGGATCACGTGATGCAGGTTCTGTTGACACCTGCCGCCTTCCGCCTCAGTTATCATGCTCGTGCCTCGCCCTCTGCAGCCCCGCCCTGTGTGTGGTCACTGAGCCTGGTGGACCTGTGTGTGTGTCCTTGTGATCACGTCCGGGAGCTTGTAGCAATGCACGCAATACCGCCACCCAGTAGGGTCGTCGTTGCTTAACCTTTCTCAACAGTGCATGCATAATTGTGTATACTTTGTTAGGGTGCATGACTTGAGTGGTACCACAAGTGAGTGTGTTGATGCCACGTCCGGGGTACCAGTGGTGGGTGTGTAGGTGATGTGGGTAAGGCGCCATACCTGAGCCCCCGCTCACCTCTCACGCCACCTATTGTTGCACTTGCTTGACCCTGCATTGTGTGGTGCCTTACACACGGTGCCCTGAATGGATATTACTGTTGTTGTATTGGTGAGTGCGAGGGCGTGTATGTGTGTGAGTGCGTGTGTGTTGGGGGTGGGTGGGTGTGTGCACGTGTAGTGGCGTGGGCAGCAAGTGGACGCCGGCGCTCCTAGTACTGTATTGGTAACGGTGGAGCGTGGCTGTGCGTCTCTACACAACCAAATGTGATGACTTAGTTGTTACGTCCCAGTGGTTCATTACTGATATTGTTAGGCTTACATATTATTATTATTGTCATTATTATTATTATCATTATTATTATTATTATCATTATTATTTTAGACTTACTGCACTGGTGAGACTCGTTCATGTGCATTATTTGACAAATGTCGCCTTAAAAAACTTTTTCTACTACTACTACTTTTATAAATTATATTTGTTCTGTTTGAGAGAGATTAGACTGGATGTGTTTCTAGTTGTTGTTGTGCCATTATTAATGTCGCGTTGTAGGAGTGCGTGTAGCTGTAACAATAATGGTTGGTCTGTTCGTCTGGGCTGTTGTTGTACCACCCGAGATGTCCCTCACTGGGGGCGGCGCCACCCACCCCACCCCACTACCACCACCACCACCACTCCTGCCTCCGCCCGACTGTCGCGAAGAAACCGCTCGCTCTTCGTGCTGGGAGGCGCTAATATTGTTTACATTTTTTTAAGGAGTATGAATTGTATTTTGAAAGGTGTTGGTGCTTCATTTTATGTTAATGTTAGATGACCAAAGTAAGTTGTGGGCGTGATGTGGGTGTGGGGGCACCAGCGACGGGGTGTAGCAAGGATAACTAGTCAGCGGACGTGGGTAACGCCAGCTTTAACCAGTCAAGCTCGCGGGGGTCGTGAGGGGCCGTGGAGGGTGTGTGAGGGGTGGGGGGCACCAACAGTCGCGTCGCCCCTCCCACCCAACAGCCGTGCTTTTTGAGGTCCCCAGCGACTTAGGTAGGATGTGTGGCATGACGGGACGAGATCCAGCGCCGCCCTGCTGGACCTTGGTGGCCCGCCCCCGAAGGTGGCCTCCACAGGTTGGTGGCCTCTACTCTGGCCTCCAATGTTACTGCTCTACTGTGTCGGTGCCCCGCAGCGTGCTGCAGGTCGCAGACGGTGCTGGTGGCCTCTAAGTCTAAGGTATGGCTTCTCGTGTTGGTGGAGTCTACTGTACTGTGTGGCCTCACGAGCACCACACACGACTCAAGTGTTTACCGGAAGACCAGCGAAGCTTTACAGAGCAGCGCTGCCCCAGAACTTTTTACATACGGCCGTAGTCTCACCGTCACCTCACCACATTTGCTCGCCAGGTGTGGGCAAGTCTGGGCTGAGCGGCGGTGGCGGCAGCTAGAGAGGTATGGAGCTACCACTAGTTCCTGCTGGTGGTGAGGCCAAAGGCAAGGGTAAACCGTGTGCTGCAGCCTGCGCAGGATGCACTCACCGCCCGTCACCATGGTGGATGATGACTCCTTCCACTACTGATACACAACAGTGCCATCCTGTAAGCCGCCCGGGGAATTATGCCACCCATTAGTGCTGCCCCCCCTGGTTGGCCAAACGATCTGTACAGATCTTCAGGCTGCCCGACACAGTATTGCCGACCATATAATCAGTGCCACTCTTGTGATGTGTGTCAGCCAGGGTCAGTGATGCCACCCTCCGTCCGAGCAGGCGAGCGAGCCACGCCCTGCGCCCCGTGGTCATGCCGAGCACAAACCGTGTACATACAATGTTTAAGTTTGTTAATTAACTGTGTAGTGCAATAGGTAACTTATTGTATTTTAGGATTATATCTAAATCTGGATTGTAAATACGATTTGTTTTATTAATCTTGTACAAATGCAACAGAAAGGTTTCCTAGTAAAGTCATGCTATCTGTATGTTCTGTTTTTCTTTATTTGAACCCATTATTTTATGTTATGTTGAGTTTGAAAGTTATGAAGAAATATATTGATTTTGATATAAAGGTGAACATCAGCATCGCGGTCCATTTGACGTTTTCTCTACAAACGTCTGTACGAAACGTTGTTCTACTCAGCGTTTTCTTCCCTACAGCCGCCATAAACTCTCTCTCAAAATGTAATACTTACTGAAGATATTACAAACCATCTTTTAAAAACGGACGAAAGAAACCAACCAAAACCCTAACCTAACCAACCTGACATAGCCAATTTAATGATCATGGAATATTCTCTAGTTTGGTTAGTTTGGGTTAGGTTAATTTTGGTTAGTTTGTTTTGGATATATATTTTCATTGAGAGGTGCGTGATACTGTAAGCTGCCCTGATGGACCGCAACACTCATTATTTAACTGTCACTTGTTTATTTTGGTGACTTATTGCCTGGTGACACATCCATAAATCCTGGTAACACAGCATAAAATCTTAGTGACACATCCATAAATGCTGGTGACACGTTTATGAGTCCTGGTGATAAATCCTTAAATCCTGGTGACACGTTTATGAGTCCTGATGACAAATCCTTAAATCCTGGTGACACGTTTATGAGTCCTGATGACAAATCCTTAAATCCTGGTGACACGTTTATGAGTCCTGATGACAAATCCTTAAATCCTGGTGACACGTTTATGAGTCCTGGTGACAAATCCTTAAATCCTGGTAACACGTTTATGAGTCCTGATGACAAATCCTTAAATCCTGGTGACACGTTTATGAGTCTTGGTGATAAATCCTTAAATCCTGGTGACACAGCCTAAGACTTTGGTCACCACTGAAGGTAATACAATTGAACGTTTTTATGGACACTTTCTCATGATAAATATCTGTAGAGTTGAAATAAAAGGCAAAACAAATTAAATCCAGTCCATATTGAGATAAATTTATTACAAAAAAACCCCCCCTACCCACCCATCATCCCTCGTCTCAGTTGCCAATGAGGCTTTTAAGATGATCAGGAAGGAAGGGAACGTCATTGGTTGTTGAACAGGACACAGTGCCAGAGTTTGTTGACATGTCTTCAGGATTTTTTTTTTCTGGAGGTCAATTGGTTTTAGTTCCACACGTCGATGTAGAATGTTGTGAATGTTTAATGTGTGTATGTGTGTGTGTCTTTCTTTCTTTCTTTCTTTCTTTCTTTCTTTCTTTGTGATGGTCATGCCCTTTGCCTCCATCGTCTTGCATTGTGAAAATTTGTGTGAACTGTAGTTAGATAATTATGCTTTGTGTGTGTGTGTGTGTGTGTGTGTGTAAAGGGATGATAACAAACCACAAAATTCATGTCATGGGAACTTTATTTCGGAAAAAAAAAGTTACATGAGTGAATAATGATACAATGCTTATGAATCATTATATACAAACATGAATAATGATACAATGTTTATGAATCATTATATACAAACATACAGTATAGAGACAAAATACAACAAAATAAAAATTACAATAAAAAAAGATCATGGGAAGAATTTAAGATACGTTGTAGTCTCTACCTGTATTCTGATCTTGTATTACACACCTGTAGTCCACATCTGTAGATTTTGGATACAGCCCACACCTGCATCTTATCGGTAACTCACGCCTGTAGATTTTATCGATAGCCCACACCTGTAGATCTTAACTGTAGCCCACATGTATAGATTTTGGATACAGCCCACAGCTGTATCTTATCGGTAGCCCACGCCTGTAGATTTCATCGATAGTCCACACCTGTATCTTATCGGTAGCCCACACCTGTAGATTTTTACTGTAGCCCACATCTGTATCTTACCTGTAGACCACACGTGTTGATCTCACTTGTAGCCCACACCTGTTGATCTTACCTTTACCCACGCCTGTTGATCCTACCTGTAGCCCCACGCTTGTTGATCTTACCTGTAGCCCCACGCTTGTTGATTTTACCTGTAGCCTACACCTGTTGATCTTACCTGTAGCCCATACCTGTTAATCTTAAATGTATCCTACATCTGTTGATCCTACCTGTTACCCACACCTGTTGATCCTACCTGTTACCCACACCTGTTGATCCTACCTGTTACCCACACCTGTTGATCCTACCTGTTACCCACACCTGTTGATCCTACCTGTTACCCACACCTGTTGATCCTACCTGTTACCCACACCTGTTGATCCTACCTGTTATCCACACCTGTTGATCTTACCTGTTACCCACACCTGTTGATCTTACCTGTAGCCCCACACCTGTTGATCTTACCTGTTACCCACACCTGTTGATCTTATATGTAGCCCACACTGTTGATCTTGCCTGTAGCCCCACACCTGTTGATCTTACCTGTTACCCACACCTGTTGATCTTATATGTAGCCCACACCTGTTGATCTTACCTGTAGCCCCACACCTGTTGATTTTACCTGTATCCCACACCTGTAAGCCCTAAATATCACTTCATACGAGCACACCAAAAGACACTTACTTTTGATGGACACCAAGATAACGTATCGGATCATTACTTATATCGGATCATTGATTATATCGGATCAACTATATCAGATCATTAACTATATCGGATCATTAACTATATCGGATCATCAACTAGATCGGCTCATCAACGATATCGGATCATCAACTATATCGGATCATCAACTATATCGGATCATCAACTATATCGTATCATCTATATCGGATCATTAACTATATAGGATCATCATCTATATCGGATCATTAACTTTATTTGATCATTAACTATATCGGATCATAAACCACCTGTAGCTAGAAACCGTATCGGATTAACAGCTATATCGGATCATCAACTATATCGGATCATCAACTATATCGTATCATCATCTATATCGGATCATTAACCACTTCATTGCCTTCCCATGATTCCCATTAACGACTAGTGTCCGGGTTCCCTCTGCTGAATAAAGCCGAGTGGCGTTGACCAATTGAAGGGTTAAAATTTATTGTTAGAAGACAGTTGTTTCTCATCCTTCCTTCCTTCCTTCCTTCTTTCCTTCCTTCCTTCCTTCCTTCTTTCCTTCCTTCTTTCCTTCCTTCCTTCCTTCCTTCAGTTTTTATTTATTTTCCTGTAATTTCTCTTTTTTTCTTATTATTCTTGTTCTTCGTAGTTCCTTCTCTTGTATTTCTTTTTGTTATCGTTTTTATTTTATCCTCGTGTTCTTGTTTTATTCTTCTTGTTCCTGTTCGTTTTGGTCTTGTTCTTGTTTTTTGCTCTCCTTGTTCTTGCCTTTATTCTTCTTGTTCCTTTGTTTTTCTTGTTCTCGTTGTTCATGTTCTTGTTTTATTCTTCTTGTTCCTATTCCTGTTCTTGTTCGTTTGGTCTTGTTCTCGTTGTTCTTGTTTTTCTTGTTATAGTTCTCATTCTTCTTCTTCTTTGACTTCTTGTTCTTGTTCTGATTCTTCTTCTTCTTGTTCTAATTATTCTTGTTCTTGCACTTCTTTTTCTTATTCTTCTTGATCTTGTTCTTATTCTTCTTGTTCTTTTTGTTCTTGCACGTCTTGTTCTTATTCTTCTTGTTCTTATTCTTGTTCTTGCACTTCTTGTTCTTGTTCTGACTCTTCTTGTTCTTGCTCTTCTTGTTCTTATTCTTGTTGTTCTTGTTGTTCTTGTTTTTACTGTTCTTGCACTTCATGTTCTTATTCTTCTTGATCTTGTTTTTCTTGTTCTTGTTCTTATTCTTCTTGATCTTGTTTTTGTGTTCTTGCACTTATTGTTCTTATTCTTCTTGTTCTGATTCTTGTTCTTGTTTATCTTGTTCTTGTTCTTCTTGATCCTGTACTTGTTCTGATTCTTGTTCTTGTTTTTCTTGTTTTGGCACTTCTTGTTCTTCTTGATCTTGTTCTTGCACTTTTTGTTCTTCTTGTTCTTCTATTCTTTTTCTCTTCTTCATCTCATTCTGTTTTGCTTTCTACATTTGTTTATCTCACATCACCAAAGGATTAAACCAGCATCCTCAAGGGGTTAAACCAACGTCCTCAAAGGGTTAAACCAACGACCTGAGAGGATTAAATCTTCGTCCTCAAAGGGGTTAAACTGTCCCTCTTCAGTGAACCATCAATAATTATCAAAGGGTTAAACTATCGCCATCGGGGGTTAAAGTTAAACCATCGTCTTCAAAAGGTTAAACCATTGTTGTCAAGGGGTTAAATAATAATCATCGAAGGGTTAAAACATTATAGAAAGATTAAACCACTTAAAGAAATTACAAATAAAAGCTTACCCATATTACACAGTGTTATTTATGGGGGTTTGCGGTGAGTGAGTGGATACAATGCTCGCCTTCAGTCCTACAGGTCATTGGTTCGATCCCAGGGAATTCGCAGTCCACCCAGATGTCTTATCAATTTCCCAATCACTTAAACCCACACTATCAATATTACAATCAATAAAACCCACACTATCAATATTACAATCACTAAAACCCACACTATCAATATTACAATCACTAAAACCCACACTATGAATATTACAATCACTTAAACCCACACTATGAATATTACAATCACTTAAACCCACACTATCAATATTACAATCACTTAAACCCACACCATCAATATTACAATCACTTAAACCCACACTATCAATATTCCAATCACTATAACCCACACTACCAATATTACAATCACTTAAACCCACACTATCAATATTACAATCACTTAAACCCACACAATCAATATTACAATCACTTAAACCCACACTATCAATATTGCAATCACTTAAACCCACACCACCAATATTACAATCCTTAAACACACCATCAATATTACGTCCTCAGACCCACATTATCCAATATAACCTACAATCATAAACCCACACCATCAATATTACAATCATAGCCCTGTCAATATTACGATGTAATACCCATCAATATTTTGTCACTTATTTTACCCATCAAGATTACAATCACTTAAACCCACACTATCAATATTACAATCACTTAAACCCACACCATCAATATTACAATCACTTAAACCCACACCATCAATATTACAATCACTTAAACCCACACTATCAATATTACAATCACTTAAACCCACACTATCAATATCACAATCACTTAAACCCACACTATCAATATTACAATCACTTAAACCCACACTATCAATATACAATCAGCAAGCCCTTCTATCAATATACAATCATAAGCCCTCAATATTACAATCACTTAAACCCACACCATCAATATTACAGTCACTTAAACCCACACCATCAATATTACAATCACTTAAACCCACACTATCAATATTACAATTACTTAAACCCATACTATCAATATTACAATCACTAAAACCTACACTATCAATATTCCAATCACCAAATCCCACACTATCAATATTACAATCACTAAAACCCACACCATCAATATTACAATCACTTAAACCCACACTATCAATATTACAATCACTTAAACCCACACTATCAATATTCGAATCACTAAAACCCACACTATCAATATTGCAATCACTTAAACCCACACTATCAATATTATAATCACTTAAACCCACACTATCAATATTACAATCACTTAAACCCACACCATCAATATTACAATCACTTAAACCCACACTATCAATATTACAATCACTTAAACCCACACCATCAATATTACAATCACTTAAACCCACACTATCAATATTACAATCACTTAAAACCACACCATCAATATTACAATCACTTAAACCCATACTATCAATATTACAATCATTTAAACCCACACTCAATATTACAATCACTTAAACCCACACCATCAATATTACAGTCACTTAAACCCACACCATCAATATTACAATTACTTAAACCCACACCATCAATATTCCAATCACTTAAACCCACACTAACAATATTACAATCACTTAAACCCATACTATCAATATTACAATCACTAAAACCTACACTATCAATATTCCAATCACTAAATCCCACACTATCAATATTACAATCACTAAAACCCACACCATCAATATTACAATCACTTAAACCCACACTATCAATATTACAATCACTTAAACCCACACTATCAATATTCGAATCACTAAAACCCACACTATCAATATTGCAATCACTTAAACCCACACTATCAATATTATAATCACTTAAACCACTATCAATATTACAAGCCTTAAACCCACTATCAATATTACGTCATAAACCCACACACTATCAATATTACAATCCTTAAACCCACATCAATGTACGTCATAAACCCACATATCAATATTACAATCCTTAAACCCACTATCAGTATTACAATCACTTAAAGCCCACATATCAATGTACAATCAGCAAGCCCACACCTCAGTAATGTAATCATTAAATACACTATCAATGTACAATCTCATAGTACCATTAATATTACAATCATATTTACACTATCAATATTACAATCACTTAAACCCACACTCAATATTACAATCACTTAAACCCACACCAACAATATTACAATCACTTAAACCCACACCATCGATATTCCAATCACTTAAACCCACACCATCAATATTACAATCACTAAAACCCACACTATCAATATTACAATCACTTAAACCCACACTATCAACATTGCAATCACTTAAACCCACATCATCAATATTACAATCCCTAAAACCCACACTATCAATATTATAATCACTTAATCCCACACTATCAATATTACAATCACTAAAACCCACACCATCAATATTACAATCACTAAAACCCACACTATCAATATTACAATCACTTAAATCCACACCATCAATATTACAATCACTTAAACCCATACTATCAATATTACAATCACTTAAACCCACACTATCAATATTACAATCACTAAAATCCACACTATCAATATTACAATCACTTAAACCCACACTATCAATATTACAAACTAAAACCCACACTATCAATATTACAATCACTTAAACCCACACTATCAATATTACAAACACTTAAACCCACACTATCAATATTACAATCACTTAAACCCACACTATCACTATTACAATCACTAAAACCCACACAATCAATATTACAATCACTTAAACCCACACTATCAATATTCGAATTACTAAAACCCACACTATCAATATTACAATCACTAAAACCCACACTATCAATATTACAATCACTTAAACCCATACTATCAACATTACAATCACTAAAACCCACACTATCAATATTACAATCACTAAAACCCACACTATCAATATTACAATCACTTAAACCCACACTATCTATATTACAATCACTTAAACCCACACCATCAATATTACAATCACTTAAACCCACACCATCAATATTCCAATCACTATAACCCACACTACCAATATTACAATCACTAAACCCCATACTATCAATATTACAATCACTAAAACCCACACTATCAATATTACAACCACTTAAACCCACACTATCAATATTACAATCACTTAAACGCACACTATCAATATTACAATCACTTAAACCCACACTATCAATATTACAATCACTTAACAACACTTTACAGTGTCTAAGGTGATTTACTCTCTTCTAGGTCCGGAGTTGTCCCTTATATAACCCTAATTTATGACACAATAAACGATAGGGAGAGAGAGAGAAAGTGTGAGAGAGAGAGAGAGAGAGAGAGAGATATTTAAAATATAACATCAATAACTTAACATAAACTAAACACTAATATACAAATAACAAATATATTAACTCTTCATTTCTATCCTATTTCTTCTCTTTTTCTCTATTTATTTATTTTCTCTCATAACCAATAAATGAGATAATTACTTACATGTGGTAATCGACATCAAGGTGGGAGGAGGGGGAGGGGGGTAGGAATTAAGGGGGGTACACTCACCTGGTCTCTGGTGCC